ATCAATTTGCATTTATCAAGGATGTCATGAATGTACTTCTTTTGAGACAATAATATACCGGAGTGATTACGAAGAACCTTAATCCCCAAGAAATAATGAAGATTGTCTAACTCCTTCAAGGAGAATATGACATTGAGATGATGAATAAACGCCTCTATAAATTTGGCATTAGACTCGGTGATAAGCAAGTCATCAACATAAAGAACATAAACAACATCCTTAGCATAGCGTTTGATGAACAACGAAGAGTCAGAGACGTAGTTTTTGAAGCCATGTTGATGAAGAGCCGTATGTAAATTGTGAAACCAAGCACGGGGTGCTTGTTTTAGGCCATAAATGGCCTTTGAGAGTCAACAAACATGATTGGGTCTATCACTAGCAATAAATCCCTGCGGTTCATCCATATATACCGTTTCTTTGAGATCGTCATTGAGGAAGGTATTGTTGATTTCGACTTGTCGGAGAGCCCAATTAGGTGTGATGGCTAGACTGAGAATAATCCGAATCGTAGTTGGTTTAACCACAAGACTGAAAGTGTCACTGAAATCAACTCCTTCCTCTTGTAAGAACCCTTTAGCAACCAGACGAACTTTATAACGTTCACTTGTGCCATCAACTTTCTTCTTAATCCTATAAATCCACTTACACCCAACAATGTTAGCCCCATGAGGTCAGGGAACTAGTTCCAAAGTTTTATTTCGCATAAGAGCATCATATTCAAGTTGCATTACGTGTTGCCAATTAGGATCCTTCGTTGCTTCGGAGAAAATTTTTGGTTCAATAGGTGTAACATGATCAACCGATAAAAGATATTTAGTAGAAGTGAGAGCCTTAGGTTTGAGATGACCTGTTTTTTCACGGGTTTCCATTCTATGAGATGAATCAGATGGGGCTTGAAAGTAAGAGGGAGCATCTGGATAGGTTGTAACCGGCGACTGTTCGGATGAGGTAGGGTTGTTGGTTTGAGTAGCGGAGGTGGATGGTGGGGTGGTGGTACCAGGGTCGGAAGGTGGTGTCTGTAAGGATGTTGATGTGGCAACGACACTGGAATTATGAGCTAAAGATGAGGTGAGAGGGTGTGTAGGTGTTAAGGTTGGTTGTGGCAGACACGGAGATGCTGCCTGTTGTAGTATGTCAATAGGGAAAGACATAGTAGGATTAGGAGATGTAGACACTAAAGATATATGAGATGTATATGGAAATAAAGATTCATCAAAAACCACATGTCTAGCAATATAGGTTTTGGATGAAGGAACATGAAAACAAATGTATCCTTTGTGTTTTGAAGTATACCCCAAAAAGATGCATGGCATTGACCAAAATTCCAATTTGTTTTGATTGCAAGATCGTATGAATGGAAAGTATAAGCAACCAAATGATTTTAAAAAACCATAGTCAGGTTTAGATGAGTAGAGACATTCATATGGCGACTTGAAATCAAGATTGGGCGTAATTATGCGATTGTTTGCATAAACAGCCATGTGAAACGCATGTTCCCAAAACTTGGTGAGTAAATGAGAGTGAGCAAGTAAAGAAATACCTTTTTCAATGATTGTTCGATTAAGTCTTTCGGTCGAACCATTTTGTTTAGGGGTGTATGGGCAAGAGACACGATGTAGAATGCCATGATGTTCCAATATTTGTGAGAAAGGTCGAAATTCGCCACCCCAATCAGTTTTAATAGCCTTGAATGTAGTGGATAATTGTGTTACAACCATTTTTTTGAATGATGTAAAGACAGATAATACTTGAGATTTATTAGTAAGAAAGTCGATCCAAGTTAATTTGGTGTAATCGTGAATAAATAAAACAAAGTAGCGATTTCCATTAATAGATAAAGTAGAGGCAAGGCCCCAAACATCTAAATGAATCATGGCAAAAGGTGTTTTGATGACTCTAAACGTTTAGGTAAATGAAGGTGGTGACTTTTCCCTAGTTGACAAGATCCACAACATTAGGTAAAGACGAACTAGTAATAGGTAATGAACATTTAGACACTAAACGACGTAAAATAGACTCGGTAGGATGCGCCAATCTTCGATGCCAACACTCCAAAGATGTACGTTCACCAAGAAAGACACGTGGACGGGAAAGAGGTAATGATGTGGAAGAAGGTAACTAATAGAGACCATTGTCAAGCATCCCACTTAGTAGTGTCTGACCCTGTAAATTCTTCACAAGATAACAATGTGGGTGAAACTCAAGGTAAATGTTTTTGTCACGTGAAAGTTTAGAAAAAGAAAGCAGGTTCTTTTTTATGTAAGGAACAAATAAAATATTGTTTAGTTTAAGCAGATCACTAAATCGGGATAAAGAGGGAAGAATTGAGTGTCCTAAACGTGTAATAGAAAGGGATTGACCATTTCCAACAATTAAACTATCATTACTGTCATAAGGGTGTGAGATAGATAGTTGGTTCATGTCACTAGTAACATGATGTGTGGCCCCCGAATCGACAACCCAAGGATCATAAATGGTAGATGGATTGGATGTTGGTGTGGTGAACATAACATGAGGTATTGACTGAGCAGATTGTTGTTGTTGGTGTTGCTGTCCTCCTTGATTTTTGTTGCGACGAGAAGGCAGACCGTTTGGTGGATAACTATTGGTATTGAGTCTTTAATAACAATTAAGAGCCTCATGACCAAGGCGTTTGCGGATTTGACACTTTGGACGTGATTGGTCAGTGCTTTGTGTCAAAGAGGTATCATTAGAACGATGATTATTGCTGAAGCGAGAAGTAGAATGGGCTTCTGGTGCAACAACCTCTAATTGGTGGTGAGAGTCCTCCTCAAGTCTTTGTTCTTCTTGAAGAAGAAGATTTAAAAGGTCATCAGAGGTTATGTCCTTGTTTTGCATCGAGAGTGTAGCTCGGAAGGAACCATAAGCAGATCCTAGACCATAAAGAATGTAGTGGACAAGGTCAGAATCAGGGATGACAACAAGACATTCAAGAAGACTATCTGCAATGGCTCGTTTCTTTTCAAAGTATTCAAGAATAGAAAGTGAAGCTTTTGAAAGAGACTAAAGTTGTTGTCGTAAATGCATCTGATGAGAGCGAGTCTGAGCATGAAACATACGTTCGAGTATCTTCCATGCTTCATTAGATGTGGTGGCTCGGGCAACCAGTCCTAGAAGGGGGGTTGTGAGAGTTGATTGGATCCATAACAGAACCAAACGATCCTTTCGAATCCATGTTGTATATGCAGGGTTTATCTTGGTGGTCACCTGAGTCGTCTCAATTGCAGGTTGATCAATGATGGTTTCTGCTGGGATGGTGGTTGGATTAAGGTAGGTAATGAGGTCATAAGCCTCAAGAGCAGAATGTACAATACCTCGCCAGAGGGAATAGTTTGTACGGTCAAGACGAATGTCAATGTTTAGAAAGTGAAGAGAATCAGAGGATCTAGAATTTGTTGTCATGGCTAAAATTGGTGTAGTAAAGGTATTAGATGAAGATTCAGAAGTCATAGGATCAATTGTTTAGGTTCAGATACCATTTAAATTGACTCTATTGATGAAAAAGTGTATCTCTTTTTTATTGTATTCAAATGATATATATATATATATATATATATATATATATATATATATAGATTACAATAGGAAGAGAAGAAGTACAACTATCATAAACTAACTGAAAAGAGTAAAAGAAGATAACAACAAAATTTCAAAATCATATCATATAGTTAACAAACTAAGAGTATATATAATTATATATGTGAGTTTTTCTGTAAGTCAGAATATTAATAATAGATCTCATATGAATATTTTTGTTGCTATTAGAGTAATGGAGGGAGTTGTTTTCTAATAATATTAATTATTTTTTATCATATTAAAATTTTCCTTTTTAATTTTGTATTTTATCCTGTTATCTTTATTTATGGTTTCAAATCAAACATCTAATTGAACAATTATGATATTAAACACTTCAAAATAAACATTTAATATATATGTAGAAATATTTCTTTAAAAAAACTCCAAAATATGAAGTAGAGTTCAAAATTAGGACATTCGGGAGAAAACGATCATTTGAAAAAATAAAAATAATTTTTTTTTAAGAAAAACTCATTTATAATGATTAGTTTATTCAAATTTTCAAATATAATCTACAAACAGTATTTAGAACAACAAAAAGTGTTTTGAATAAGATGCTCAAGGAGAACAAAAGAAGTACAGCAAAATGAGAGGTTGGCATTAACTCCTTTTAAATATGCACCTATATTTGTTGGCCATGTACCCCTCTATAAAATAAGGATAGGATGGTACTGGTTTATAGTTTAAAATGAAGTATATATATATATATATATATATATATATATATATATATATATATATATATATATATATATATATATATATATATATATATATATATATATATATATATATATATATCCCGTGAGCATGGGAATTGATGGAAAATTTGGCATTCGATTGTCATACTGTAATGGGGTACAATAATTGAAAATTGATGCATCTCCCCTACTCTAGTTTCAAGATTACATTGTTTATTGATGTTTATAATTTATATATGCAAAATTTACAGCAGTAAATTTATAAAAGAAAAGAACGCAAAAGCTTCACAATTATTTTTATATTTCACCAAAAATGGTGTAACTCTTAGATACTATAAAGAAAATCATTTATCAATTTTGGAGTAGGAAAAAAATGGACAAAACTCATTAAATGAAGAAAAGATATTGATAATTTGATTTGCTTTATTACTCACCAATCACCATGGCATGTTGTTTGTATATACGACGGACCCAACCGACATCTACATGTTTCCTGTTTTGCTTTTAACTCAAGCCAATTGTTTATACACCAATATAGTTTAGATAGCAACTTAGCAAACATTTGACATTGGACCAACGGACCCCACCCTTGGCCCTTCTCCATGTTCAGTTTATTAAAGAAAAAAAACGTCAATTCATATTAACCAAATAAAACACAACATGCAAGTAACTTTCATGATTAATAACATATATATATTTAAACACAATTAAAAAAGATTGTCCGTTAGAGCAGCCCTTAAAATAAAAAACAATAAACTCATGATGGTTGTTTAAAATCCTTTTACGACTAACTGGAGGGGCTCCATATTCTCTTGATTATACAGGTGGTCCTACACTAGCTTTTGTATATATAGTGTACACATTTACATACTGTTGTTACTTATAATTCATTATAATAGGTATATATGTATACATGTATATAAGCACCCATAACATATTTTTTTTTATTTTAGAAATACTCCTTGTGAAACGCAAATCGTGTCGATGTCTTCTGGCTCATTTCATATGACAGTTTCTTCAACTCCTTAGCCAACACCGGCATCCCACAGTAAAACACCCCTGATAAATCAAACATCGTTTTTAAACCTTTAACCCAAACATAAATTATTATTTATAAAAAAAAAAAAAAAAAGGATTTTAGAGTATTATTGAAATTAATTACCTACGGTTGAATTCGGATGTTTCGATGCAACCTTACTGAACACCTCTCTCCAATTCGGCCTTGCAAAATGTGTTCTTACCTGCAACAAAACTTACGCTAGTTAATTTAATTAATGTAACATATATATTGAAGGAGGGTATTTTTGGAATTATATCATACTCGGGTGCCAGATAGGATATCAACCCCATGTTTAGCATGGGTAAGTGCTTGAACCATAGTGATTAGAGTTGACCTTGCATCGCCTTCTTCGTAAACACTTGTAAGATAATTATGCATCTCAATTTGACCCTGTAACATAATTATAGAAATTAGTAAGAGCGTCAAATGATAATTGATCTTTAAATATAATTATCAAGATTTGAACATATTTGTATACTTTATGATCCATTTCAGCAACTTCATCCATAACTCCTTTGAACCATTCAAATGATCCGGATTCTCTTGTAACCCAATAAAAATTTGCAACTTTCGCCTTTTTTGATTTCTTTTTATTATCACTTGATGATGCCATACTTGAAGATGCAAGACTCGTAAGACTATCCCCCGATATACTTGTCTCCGTGTTTGAATCCTAACAACCACAAAAGTTAAACCATAAAAAATTAACCCGCTTTTTACTTTTTATCATAAAATTCAAAAATAAATGTACATGATTTTGAGTTTTGAGTTTTGAGTTTTCACCATTTGATCCTCAACTGCTCGATTGTTGTTTAACAGATCTCTAAGAATACTTATGAATGGAGTCGCTCCAATTCCTAGCCCCACAAGAAGCAACACATCATAGTTCCTGTAGTCCTGCGCTGGTGCACCATAAGGTCCATCTAACAATAGCCTCGGTAACCTGTGCATTATTTACTTTAGTTTCTAAAAATGCATAAAAACAACTTTTTATTTTTATTTTTATTTATAAAAGTAATTTACCCTTTTGAGTTGACATCTCCTAACTTCTTGAATTTTGCTCGGCCAATTGTACATGGTGAACCGTTGTCATTGTTTAAAACTTGTTTGAGTTCTTGTGTCCAGTCACCAACAGTCCGGATATGAACACTTAGGTAATCATCTCCAGGTGACGAAGTAATTGAAAATGGATGCCTGGATTTTTAAATAAATATAACCAGAGGAAGGATTTTTATATATCAACAAAAAAAAAAAAAAAAATTAATTTACCATTCAAATGGAGAGATTGAAGGGCATTGAAGGAATATATACTGGCCACTTCTGTATTTGAATCCATTTGGTTTGGCCATGATTATGGTGAATACATCTCCTGGTAGATTTGAAACCTTTATGATTTTAGCAGAGTAGTGTTCTGACCTTCCTGTCCTCAGACTCCTCTCTAACAAGTATATAATCAGAGGGACAGAAATGTACATCCACGTCTGCAGCGACATTGCAATATATATGTAGACATTAATTTACAAGAAACGAAAATAATAATAATAATAATAATCTTGATTACCGTTTTCTGAGTCCATTTGTGAACCAAGAACAAGAAGGATCCATGAATCAAAAGCAATATATACACCAAACCAAAAAGATGATGTGAAAACCAAAAAGCATTAAACCCTGTCAATCGGTTCAATGGTGAAGGCAGTTTTACTAAATTCTTCCTGAAATATTTTGAAGCAAGTGTGAAGGCGAAGGCCATGAGTATCAGCATTGTAATTCCCGTCACACCTTCAACTCCAACCATCAAATCCATGTATGTGGGTTGTTCATTATGGAAATCCGAAGCTATAAGTGCGAATTTTTCCGGCGAAGAGTTCACCAAACGAGGGAAATCACAGATCATATGGTTCCCGACATGAACGACGATTCCAATCGCGATCGCAAACGCAATCATCTGCATCATGTAATTAAATCAGACATCAATTTTTCACGGTGTAGGATTTTAGGGTTTTATGAAATCATCAATCGATCACCTTGTGAAAGTTGATATTGTCATCGAAGGGGATGAAGAATCTGGCGCGTGTAGATCTGAGGAATGTTAGCATGTTTCGACAAACGGGTAGAAGGATGAGAGCCATATTGAGTTTCAGGGTCTCGGCAGCGCCTTTTGCAGTAGTCAAACAATATCCCATTACTTGAAACGCTGCTTTGTTTTTATATTGTTTAAATTTCCATATAAAGAGACACGCCATTGTTAAGAACCAGAGCATCAAGATCCAAGTTCTTTGCCAGTTCTCTATCATGACCCACCTAACAAAATGAGTTACCCGATGGATGATGCTTTTTGGCTTTAACGAATTCAAGTTTTGACTCCAACCTCCACTAGCTATGCTCAATGGTCTACTGTAGTTCATGTATGCTTCCCTTTGTAGTAGAAGCGTTTCCAATTGCCATAACTGAAGCAAAATTTCCACTTCAGTACTGTTTCTTAATATAATATAATATAGTTTTGTTGTAATGAAAGGTTTTCAGCTGATTTACCTCTATATAACCAAGATTTTCAGGGTCTAATTCTTCCATAATTAAAGAAGCGTATTCCTCTGCTTGTTCTTTCAACTTTGATAATCTGTTTGCAGCAGCACTAAGCACTAGGAGCTGCATACAAATGTAAAATTACCCAATTTAATAAATGAATCTCAAAGTCCTTTAATAGTGAAAATTTATTAGAATTTAATCTATCAATTATACACCTCCTGTATCTCATCCCTTGTGATCCTTCCATCTTCGTTGCTGTCAGCCCTGTATTTATAAGAAGAAAATAATCATTAAAATTTGTTTAACAATAAAGAAAATATCATAAACCAACGTTTAATTTAACGTATAAAACAATTTGTAGTGTTTTCTTACAATCCAAATGGTAACCCTGGAATCAAAACGTCATAAAAGTTTAATTTGTTAATATTGAAAAGAATATTATTGAATTCTTTTTGATGGCCACAGCTCAACATTATATCGAGTCAACTTTGTTATTATATACAACTGAGATTATGTTGGCATAATGTGAAATTACAACGGTACCCTTCACCAAGAACTCATTTTTAAGATATCGGGATTAAATTAATCATGCCCCTTTTTTCTGCGTCTATTGGTTGTAATCTTTTGTTGCGAATATTGCACCATGGTCACATGGGAAGGACTAAGGAGTATGTTAAGTAATAAATTTGAGACAAACGTAATGGAAGATGAAAGAAAACGTCATAAAAATTCGAAATTTGGTGGAAGAAACTTAAGGGCTAAGTAGTAATTTTGCCAGCTCAAAGAGCCTTAAGAGTGTTAATATGTCAGCAACCGACTGACTATGAATTCTGTTGTCCGGGTTTCCCGCTCGTAACCGGAGTTTTGCAACTTGAACGTTTTGGGTGCAGAATTTTAAGAATAAGGGACAAAAGTTCAGGATTTCAGGTAATATCAATGGAAAGAAAGAGAGATAGAGAGAAGAGAGAAGAGAGAAGCATACATGTCAAAGAAGATCTGCAGACGAGCATCGAAGCTCTGGTCTGAAATCTGTAACCAAAACTCGTAAAGCTCTGCTTTCGTAATTTTCCCCAGTTTCTGCTGTCTTCTTCTTGCCAATGCATCGAATACTCCCAACGCAAACTCCTTTGAGTCCGCCATTCCTGCAAAAAATCACACACTAAAAGTGAAAAGGAAGAACGGGACGAATTGATTTGATTATACCGGGAAATGATAAATTTGGATGGTCACCTATACATTCGGCGAAATCTTCTCTAGCTAGGAGTCCGTCATGTTTAGCGAGACATGCGAACCTTGACTCGACGTTTTTCCACAGGTCGCTGACGTCGGAGGCATTTGTGGTTTTGCTAATAAACCTGAGACCTCCTAAAGCTCGTTGAGCGCTAGATTTGGTGCGAATCAATTTCGCTTTCATTTTCCTAGCATCCCTGGATGGGATGGCACGATCCACACTAGCATCCGATGAAGAAGCTCGTGAAGACGACGACGTCAACCACGAAAATTTCCGACGAAGCCTGGAGGTGGCGGGCGGCGGCGATTGTGATTGTGAAGAAACAGGAAAGGGATGGGAATTGCTGTTGGCGGTGGCGGTGGGAGTGACACTGCACAAGATAATCGAATCATCTTCTAGCTCCAACGTGACTTCCACTAAATCCTGATCGTTGTTGCGTTGTAGATCACTGAGGAAAATAGGGAGCATTGCTCCTCCAATTCCGTAAACGTCATTGGAATCATCAACTGGGTAGTCCAACATACGGCTGTAATTTGATCTTCCATCGGAGCGGCTACTCGCCGGAGAATCAGACCCCATCATTCTGCTTCAAATTTGGTGCAACTCCATAGACAAACATACGTGTTTAGGCGTAAATTTGCATCCACCGGTAGAAAATCAAACGATGAGGTTGATTGGAAAAAAAGGATTTGTAAAACAAACACCTCTCAACCGATGGGTGCACACGAATTCAACGCTTCTGTGTAGAGAGTAGTTGAGTCTTGTTTCTTTAACCCCCCATCTTTTCCATCTCCTACCTTGCCAATATAAACTATACATACAACCACCCCTTCCATTTCTATTCCCATATTTTACAGAAACACCCCCCTACTATCACTTATTATCTCTTCTCACCCCCATTTTAACAAAATTACCCAATTCTCTTGTTATGGTCAATCTTCTTTTGTTATCCTAAATGTTGTTTCATAATATAGTGATGACTGATTAGACTGAATAAGCTTACAAATTTTATATTATTACAATAATAATTAAATATTTTTATTGGTATAATTTAGAGTGTTGTACGCATTAATAATATACTTTGAATAACTTTTGGGTAATTTGATGCATTTGTTTTTATTAACTAACCCCTTATATTTTATTATCATTTCGCTGTTAGTATTGAAACAACTCTCACGATTACTAATTAATCAAACAGATGAAGATTAAGATTAAGATAGGGTGTAAATGGTGTAATAAATAGGTGCATGCTATCTTACGTACCAGATTAATTAGAAAATATTAATTTGGTAACTAACATTAATTGTTTGTTATTTTTTTAGTTTTCCATAAGCTGGAGTCGTGTCTCCCACTCATCCCTCCTTCCAGTTTACGACTTCTTCAAATATTTCATTCATAATTCTAATTTATATATAGGGATTGGTTGGTGCTCTTTGATTCCTTCTATTTTTCTAGAAACAATTCAAAACGATAATAACCTTGTATATTATTCATTTATTTAGAAATATACTTCTAATAATTTATCAAACAAGTTAATAAAAAGATCTAAACTTGGATTATGATCATTAAAAAGTTTCATTCAGCAAAAGAAAGTCAGCTATATAATGGAAGTGAGCAATATATTCTTTTTTATTTATGTCGTAGATAAACATATACAACTTTATGTGGTAATTACATGTTGTAGGTTTCCTTTTCCATTGAATTCACACCTTTTTTTCGGTAAATTTTGATCATCTTCTTAAAAGAAAACCTCTCATATAACACTTAATAACATACACAAATTAGTCATCAAAAGTACAATTACTTGCAATTATAAAATTTACTTTTAAAAGGTCATTGATGACAATTATAGTTGAATTCAGTGGAAAAGAATGATGCTATATAACAATGGTATTTATTATTTAATAAAAAATTGGAGCTGGCAATTAACTTTCAGTTTGATTAACCAGTTAATCTTCTGATATGTGAATCAATGATGGACGATTGTAAAGTTTCGATGTAAACCGTAATACTTTTCCAACGATCATAAAAAAATTTATATTTCGGTCGAATTTAATCTTTAAATATATTTATTTATTTGGTTAGTTACAAAAACCAACAATCATTCATTTTGACCATTTTATTAGGTCAACAGATTATCATATTTTCAAAAATTACACTTGACTTATATATATATATATATATATATATATATATATATATATATATATATATATATATATATATATATATATATATATATATATAAAATCTAAGTCAAAAAATGTAAAAAAATAAATATAAAAAACGGATTAAATCGTAACAATTCTGGTCAAAAATTACACTTTTGATTTACATTTCAAAATTTTGTTACGATTTAATCATTAATTTCATTTTTTATATTTATTTCTTTTAAAATTCGGATAAGTTTTGATTGTTGTATAAAATCATACTTATACAAATAAAAAACATATTTTTCACATAAAAAAACCTTTTTTATCTATTTAATGAAACCTTTTTGTATGCAAAATACTTATATAAAAACCTTCATTTTAACATTTTTTTTATGCAAAATGCTTATTTACAAGAATACTATTTTATATTAAATACCTATTTATAAACATATGGTTATGTAAAAATATATTAAATATATTTATGTAAAATACGTTATTAATCACATATATATTTTAGAAAACTTTAATCAAATATGTATTTATTAAGTACATTAAAACATTTTGTGTGAATAAAAATACATAAATGTATACAAAAACGTTTTTATAAAAAAAATAATGTATTCAAAAACATATTTTATAAAAAAATATTTTATATATATATATATATATATATATATATATATATATATATATATATATATTTATAAATAGGCATTTAAAATAAAAAAAAATATTTTTACAAATAGGTATTTTGAATACAAAAATATTTTTAAAAAAGATTTGTATATTGGTATTTTACATATAAAAATATTTATGTAAAATTATATAAAAAATTGAAGGTTTTCATGTGAAAGGTATGTTTTTTCTATAAGTATGATTTTATATAACAAAAAAATATATTCGATTTTTTATAAATAAGACGATGAAAAAACTAAATTTAGGATGATATCATAATAAAATTTTGGAATTTGGGTCAAAAGTGTTAATATTATACCAATCTAGGCAAAAAAAAATGATGGGTTTTGATATAAAATATAAATGTGTTTTTCATTAAAACGGCAACGAAAGTCTTATAAAATAACATGTTTATTTTTAATTTATAACAAAATCAAACCATCAATGATATATTTATAGATGTTAGAATGATATTAAAAACAACCAAAGAGTAATTTAAAATGAGAACCTTTGAAGCCTTTGAACCCACTTGGTTTTGGGGTATTGATGAAGATAGAAAAATCAAAGAATATGATTTTCTCAGTATCCACCATCAAGATTAATGCACTTGGAATTCTAGTTCCTTCTTATATTTTTTAGTGTCTTAAGTGTAACATTCCGACTTCCAGGTATGAATTTAAATCGTTTTTATTCATTTTAACAGGGAAACTCGACGAGTTGGAGGTCACAACTCGTCGAGTAGAGATTGAGATGGTTGCGTGAATTTTAGAATCAACTCGACGAGTTAGAGAACCCCAACTCGACGAGTAGGAGCTGAATGTGAAAACCCTAATTTTCAGGGTTTGCACCCTATTTAAAGGACCTTAAGCCCATTATTCCGCCTCCCTCATCACCTTATCACCCTGAGACAAACCTTAATCGAGCTATAACCCACCGTGAGAGAGATTGAGGCTAAGAGTGTGTGTTTTGGTGCATTCTTTGATGGAACTTGAAGAGTCAAGTATTTGAAACAAGAAGGAGACCTTGGATCCGACATCTATTCTGTTGTAGCACTAAATTTGAGGTAAAAAGTCATTACCTTGATAACTTGTTTGTTAGATCTCTCCATTGGGGAGTTTATGGCCATCTATAGTATTTCCTTGAGTCATTAGTGGTTTTGAGCTTACATTGAAGCTAAGACTTTAGATCTGGACATTATTAGGCCCTTTAGGCCTAAAGAGTTGAGCTTTATCCAACCTTGGCCAACTTCCATGCTTTAAACACTTTGTAGAGCTTTATTTTCACAAACTTGGCCCTAGATGCCATGCATGGACGTAAAGCTTGCAGCTTTACATGGTATTTCAACATTAGGATGCTAGATGTAACATACACGTTTTGAAATCGTGTTTTTGTACTGAATAATATTATTAAATATTATATGATTTTGAGCATTGAGTTCTAACAGATAGTTTTTACTAGAAGTAAAGTAAAACTATGTTTAGACCCACTCAGAAAATATTGAAAGTCTTATGAGATTACAATATAATATTGAAATTTAACGAAAATATAAAATTTGAAGTATGTAAAATTTTATTATCGAAATTTCTAGAAAATCCCGTTAAAAAAATTTAAGTGAAAACCTCATCGAAATCCGAGGTATAACGAAGAAGTTATGATTATTTGAAGTTTCGCGACAGAACCGGTCTGGCGTTGTATGACGTAAAAAATGAGTTTTTGACAAACTACTTTTAGCCTATACGATCTAAATGAAAGTTTTAGTATTCATTAAACTGATAATTTTCACAAAAAGAATGTCCACATCTGACTTCATATGAAGAAGTTATGATTTTTTTAAGTTTCGATATAGTAGTAGACAACTAATAATTCGAAATAAAGATCGAGTGATTTTTAGCCGACACAACCTAAACAAGAATCGAAGGTCTTATCAATAGTTGTACAACGGTAAAAAGATAGACGAAAATGGACATCGAATGAAAAAGTTATGAATTTTTAACGAACTTTTCCTATCCTAACCCGTTAAAAATATAATATTAAAATGAAGTCAAAATTAGCCGACGGAGTCTAAACGAAAGTTGTAGAGTATAATCTCACCTATGTGTGGATATAAAGAATGTCTGTAACGTCCCAAATTCGACTCCAAAAATTTTATTTTTAATTAATTAACTGAAAATCTTGCTAGTATCACAACTAACCATAAATCATTCAAAACATGTTTCAAATCAAAACACCAATAGTAGTAAAATCAGAGTATAATCCCATGAATCAATAATGCGGAAATCTGATGTGCGTGTGATGTGAAGCTACCGTGCCAGCTCTTTCCCTTTCGCTGAAGAGGTATCTGAAACAAAACTGAAAACTGTAAGCACGAAACTTAGTGAGTTCCCCCATCATACCACATACCATACAAACATAAAACATACATACTGCTTGATATATCTGGGTGCCCGACCTACCCCTTCGGTCCTTTTGACCGGACATTGCCTAGCATATCTGGGTGTTGGTCTGCCTTTCGGTCCTTTCGACCGAACATTACCTAGCATATCTGGGTGCTGGCCTCCCCTTCAGTCCTTTCGACCGGACATTGCCTAGCATATCTGGGTGCTGGCCTCCCCTTCGGTCCTTTCGACCGGGCATCGGGGACTATTTCACCCCTCTAATACTACCACATAACATATATCACATAATCATTATCTATTTAGCATAACTGGGTATTACTACCCCTTTCAACACTATCGACCGATAATCTTGGGGATTATCTCCCCTACTGCTACTATCACATAACATCATAATGTACTAGCACATAAACATATTAGGTAATAGCAAACCTAGATGAATATCACAAAGACAATCATCTAACATACAACTCCTACTGGTGGGCCGACATTGTGGACGTAGACCCACTGCTACTGGAAGGTAACTCACCTCGTACAAGTGAATGCTGATAAACTAGGTGAGAAATCTCTGTTTGTTGCTGCTCCGGCGACTCTCTGGCTATAATCTCCATAAAGACACTTAATCAGAAGCTGATAACTACTCTTAGGGTAAAATGACCATTTTACCCCTTTGACCCAACTAGATATACCGAAGTCCCAATTCTAACTTATTAAGTTGTAACTCTCCCGTTGGCCTTTAA